CAAGAACTTTATATGGCATAACAAAATCACAAGCACATGAAATTGTTAAATGCTGTGCTACTTGTGTGCCTTTTCAGCCCCTTTTCCATGTTGATGTCCATAACCCCAAGGGACTTACACCTACCACCTTATGGCAAATGGATGTTACTCATTATTCTCCTTTTGGAAGACAAAAATATGTTCATGTTTCTATTGATACTTATTCAGGCTTTATTTTTGCTACTGCTCAAGTGGGTGAGGCTGTTCACAATGTTATTAATCATTTGCTTCATTGTTTTTCCTTTGCTGGCCCACCTCAATGCTTAAAAACTGATAATGGTCCTGCATATATTTTGCAGGGTTTTAAAAAGTTTTGTACTGAGTTCTCTATTAGTCACACTACTGGCCTTCCTTATAATCCTCGTGGTCAGGCCATAGTTGAATGTGCCAATCGTACCTTGAAAATGGTGCTTCAAAAACAAAAAGGGGGAGCTAAGGGATCCCCTTGGCATCAATTGAACACTGCACTCTAAACTATAAATTATTTAAAATTTGATAGTTGTAACCTCTCCCCTGCAATGAAATATCTGGCAGGAAATGACAAAAGTACTAATGACACCACTAAATAGTTGAAGGTGTCTGGCAGGGCCCAGGGCAAGTGCTAACCTGGGGGCAAGGGTTTGTTCTTATTTTCACAGGTGATGGAGAACTTTGGGTCAGAACAAAGGATGTCTGTATTATCCATTCAGAAGGAACAAGGCAAGCAGAAAAGAAAACACAGGCTGGCCAGGAATTGAATGAACCGAAAGAATAAGAAGAAGGCACTACGAGAACTTTTAACCAAGCTGTGCCTCTTGTCGTTATCATCAGCAGGGATACAGAATACAGCAGCAGCAGAGACAGGAAATACAACATGATGGGCTTTTGTGACAAAACCACGATGGCCCAGACTAGTTACATGGGGAGAGACAATACCTGAGGTCATTCTGCAAGGAAATACCTCCACAGGTTTTGGCAAGGAATTTCATTTGATATCACTTAAGAACCTCTCTCAACACATTGTAAAAATGAACTTTACTGGTGTGGCTTTGGTGCCGCCTATTTGTGTTACAAAAGGCAATGACACCAAAAACTCCATGTGTTTACAATTATTTAATGTCACCACCGTTTTGATGGGTATGTGTTTAATAACACAGCACCCCCTCCTTATACTGTTATCTTTTTTCAATTTTATAAGGTTACTTACATGGGCATCTTGGGGTCACAGTGTGTTAATGACACACCTATCAGACGTCCAAGTAATTCAAAGCCATGCTATCATGTGACACCGATTAGCAAGAGCTTAGGGTATCCTCCTTGGTTATCTTGTCATACTTCAGAACATCATGGTGTTGTGTTACAAAAGAAATTTACGTTACAATCCTGGCACAATTATATTAGGGAGAAAAACAATCATACTTGGGCTTTTGGCGGGTTTCCATTTCCTCAGTGGGTTTCCCTTCATGACAGAGGGGTTGAAAATCAGTTGTGGAAGGCGTGGGCAGCCTTAGGCCCCATAAACATCATGATTTTGCAAGGGACCTTCCAGGATAATATGACAATGTGAGCTTGTTTGACTGATAATCATGCATTTATGTGGGGAAGAGCACAGAATGTTAATATAACGGCCATGGATTCAGGGGAATATAATGTCACTTGTATTAATTGCAGGGTGTCTGAATGTATAGGAACCAAGATTAGAGACCAAATTATTTTTGTTATTACACAACAAAAGTTTGCCTTGGTGCCTATGAAAAGCAAAGATTGGTATGAGTCACGTTCTGATCATATTTTTGGAATAATAGACCAAAGTAATCAATTAGCAGTTGCTAGGAAAAAGAGATGTATTTCTTGTGTAGTATTAGGAATTGTTTCACTTATAGCTATCATAACTGCTTTTGTATCTTTATCTCAATCTACATCTATCACAAGAAATGAAATGGTTCAAGCTGATTTTATGAATCAATTAGCTCATAATGTATCAAAGGGTTTTCAAACACAAAAAAGGATAGATGATGAATTTTACCATATACTTGAGGGAATGAAGGAAACCATTATCGAAATAGGTGATGAATTGGATATTTTAGAATATAGAACACGTTTGAAATGTGATTATAGGTATGAATTCATTTGCCTTACCAATGTTAAATACAATAAATCCCAATGGGATTGGCAAAGAATACGTAGACATCTAAATGGGCTGTTTGGGAATTCTACTATTGCAGTGGATATTGATGACTTATACAACATTGCTAAAGATATTACAAGGGCGGCTGATAAGGATTTGATGCCAGATAAAACTGCCCAACATATACTTGATTGGCTAGATAAACTCCATAACCCTTTTAATAACCTTGGACATGGGTTTATATCTCTATTGTCTTCTTTATTGCCATTATGTTTGATTTTGCTGGCCATGCTGTTTTGGACCGTGTTTGCTCAGGTGCATAGCTAATCAGATAAAGGACTTTGATACTGAGCTTCATATGCTCCATCTCCAAGAAAAACAAAAAGGGGGAGTTGCCGGGGATCCGTAAGGGTGTTGAGGGCCACAGGCTGCTCATGAGGTCTCACTGATGGGCAGAGGCCTCTCTCAGGTGACTGATCTATGAGCAAAGGTTGCCTGGTTCGGTGCTCCATTCTGTGGATCTTTAACAATCTTTAACTCCCCTACTTATTGTATGGTCATTAACAGTTTATCTGGGATTGGAGTCAGATAAGTGCACAGGATGTACAGGCACTGTCCTTAGCACAGCATGAGCTCTACGTCCTCAGGACTTGAGAAGAAGTTCCTGTTACCTTCCTACTTAAGTGAATGCTTTGTTAAAATTAAACGGAGTTGCTTCCATCTTGTCTCCCATCTTGTCTCCTGCCTCGTTAGTGCACATTCAAGATAGAAGGTTAAGCTGGCCTTATCCCTTCAGAGTTTATAGGATCCTTGCTCTTGTGGTGAGCTGAGCTAGTCGCATGACAAGAGCTTGCAACTACAAGGAGAGCAGGGAATCTGGTCACAGTTCTTGGGCAGAAAAGAGTGCTTGTGATCACTCACAGACCAGAGCACAGGCCAGGTAAACACAGCTCTCCCTAAATCATACAACCTTGGATGAACTGAAAACTTGCAGGTCTCCAGAATTATCTCTGAAAACAGCTGAAACTTGAAGCTTGGGACAGTGCCCCCTCTACTCTGAAAGTAGAGCCCCACTGAAGCATAGAGTTAAAAGTCAACAAATAGTATAGAAAAAAATAAGCAAAGAGCAGAAAAAGATCCAGGAGAGATAATTTAAGAATTATTGGACTACCTGAAAGCTATGATTTAAAAAAAAGAGCCTAGACATCATCTTTCAAGAAATTATCAAGAAACGCTGTCCTGATTTTCTAGAACCAGAAGGTAAAATAGAAATGGAAGGAATCTACCAATCACCCCTTGAAAGAGATCCCAGAATGAAAACTCCCAGGAATATTACAGTCAAATTCCAGAGCTCCCAGGTCAAGGAGAAAATATTGCAAGCAGCCAGAAAGAAACAATCCAGATATTGTGGAGCTACAGTCAGGATAACACAAGAATTAGCAGTTTCTACATTAAAGGATCAGAATGCTTAGAATATGATAATCTAGAGGGTAAAAGAACTAGGATTACAACCAAGAATCACCTGTCCAGCAAAACTGAGTATAATCCTTCTGGGGAAAAAGTAGATATTCAATAAAATGGAGGACTTTCAAGCATTTCTGATGAAAAGACCAGAGTTGAATGGAAAATTGGACTTTCAATGACAAGACTCAAGAGCCCAGTATCTAAGAGCTTAAGTTATAAATGAGTTTCTGATCTGAACTAGCGTGGAGAACTTTCTCACTAGGAGTTTCCCCCCAAACCAATGAAATTAATAGGCTCAGGTCAAACAACAGCAATAACAATCCTAAATGGCGGGACAAGTACATGTGTGGGTGCACGTGTGTGCATGCATGTGTGCGTGTGTGTGTGTGTATACTAAGGGGAGATTCTAAGGCACAGTTCTGTGAGTTTAAATCCTGAGAATCATGCTGCATTCTAGCTCCTAGCCCTTTGTTCCTTACTGCCCCAGAGTGTGTGGGAAGCTCACCAGACCTGCCCTCTCAGGTCAATCTAGGGACTCTGAGAAGTCCAAATGTCCAAGGAAGGCAGCCTTTGAGTGGCACATAAAATGAGGTCTAGTGGTGTGTCTAGTTCCTAACACTTGGATCCCATTCAGACAATGGAAAGGCACTCTGAGTAATTCTTCAAATTGCCTGCTCAGGGGAGGGAGTGACTGTCCCAGAATGATATTCTGTGCTTACACTTTGGGTAGAGGGGATCTACTCTGCCAGGGCTCTTTAATGGGTTTGTGCTCCAATGCTTTTCTGTAGAGCTAAAAATAGGTTGTGTTTCAATGCTCAGGGGCTAGGAACATGGCACTGGATGGTCAGACACTGCCCTTCCAATCATCAGCCTTCATTTCCCTTAAAGTAACCAGTCACTGAGTTGTAAAGGGTATATAGGGTTTTGTAACCCTGGATCGTGGCTCTGCCATGAATTTGCTGTGTGACCTTGGGTAGACATTTCATTTCTCTGGGCCTCAGTTTCCTCCTTTTTGGAGTGAAGGAATAGAATCTGGAAGGTCTATTTCAGTTCTGATTTTCTCATGGTGAATTATGGTGGGGTGTAAAGAATCCTAACTTGCTTTTCTTTGTATTCCCCAGTGCCAAGCATAATTTCTGGTATATAGTATGCACTTAATACATGATTGTCAATTGATTGGTTCAATCCAATCCAACAAAGAAGGAAACTGAGTCCCATAGAGTTCGAATCACTTGCCTAAGTTCACAGAACTAATATTTGAACTCAAGGCATCTGATTTCAAATTCCTGCTCCCTAACCCCTATCCTTGCATTGTTGGAAAATGTTTGCTTATCTGCAGCCTTGAGGTAGATGAGCCCACCTCTGATAAGTGTTTTTGTTGGCTTTGCAGGGACCTGGCCCTAGGAACACTCATGCAAGGAGATCTGTTAGCCCAAAGCTCTCCATCGCTGTGTTGGTGTGCACCTGGAGAGTCCACTGAGCCTTTACCCTCTGTGGAGGGAGCCAAAAGTCACCAGCCCTACAATCTCAGGCTGAGAAATTGGGAGAAGAAACTTGAACCAGCCAATTAACTTTCAAGCTGCCTTTCTGTAACAAGATCCTTCCTTCTCCAGAACTTTCAGAGCTGAAGAATCAAATGTAGCAAAAGAAGAATACCCGTGATATGTTCTGAGGACAGAATCCTTCTTTCCTTAGCTCAAAACATCCAGCAGAAGCCCAGGTGATGTTCTCCTCACACCCACCTTTTCTAGTTTCTTCTTCCTTAAAGATCCATCTTCAGCCAGTGTTGGACATGAGCTAACAGTCCTGCTAGACTGTTCTGTCATTTCAACCTCCCTTGGAAAGAGGTCTTGACCTTGACTGTGTTAGCCCAAACTTGTAGAGATTAGGAGCTATTCATAGTCTTATCTAAGCCATAACAAGCAGTACACCCACCTAGACCTACCTTGGGTCTACGGCTGCCTGCTTTGGATGAGAATTCTCCCCTCCCAGTCCTCTACCACATGACTCCTTCCCTCTTTGAGTCCCACAACTAGACCCCAAGAGGTGAGTCCGGAATGAACCTGCTATGGCCAAACTCTGGGTCAAGTTCCAGCGGTATTTTCGAAGGAAACCAGTCCGTTTCTTTACCTTGGTGGCTCTCTACCTGACAGCTGGGAGCCTGGTTTTCCTGCACACAGGCTTTGTGGGCCAGCCTGCTGTGGCTGAGAATGAGCCCAACCCAGCTGCCAGTGCCCCTGAGGGAGCTGAGCTGCCATACCAGGACCTCCTGCACCTGGAGAGAGGCTTCCGGGAGACCCCTGAGTCTCCGAATGCCATCCGCAGATATGGCCCTTGGCTCAAGAGCACCTCATCAAAGGATTCACCAGAGCGGAGCAGGCTGGGAGACTATGGTGGGACTTGGAGCCGGGCCCTCAAAGGGAGAGTCCTCAGGGAGAAAGAGGAAGAAAGAGGTAAGAGGGCTGTGATCAAGGGTAAATGGAAGAAGGAGGGTGGGGGACAAAGACAGGTGACCACACTGTGAAGTCAGAAGACCAAGATCAGCTCTTCTGATTATTAATGGTGTGACCTTAACTCCTCTGGGCCTCAGTTTCCTTATCTATAAAAATAAGAGTTAGTTAGATTTGATCTGAAAAGTCTCTTCTTACTCTAAATCCTATGATCCTGTCTTAGCCTTTGTTCTCTGTGACCTGAGATAGCTGTGCACCATTTGTTCTATGAAGAGGCAGATGGACTGGGGAGAAGTACCAGGGACTGGTGTTTCTATGCAGGTTGTTTGAAGCATCTCTTTGGAGAGGGGCAGGATGGCTTTGTGGAGTGATCACTGGACTACCTCCCATTGATCCCAATATTTTCTCATTGTTCATAGTTGTTGATGTACCATCTTCCCCATTAGAATTTGAGCTCCCTGAGGGTAAGGACATTGTTGTTGTTTTTCTAACTCCAGTACTCAGCACGTGTCTGGCACAAAGTAAGTGCTTAATGAATGCTTCTTGACTGGTTAGATTTAAGGTCATCAAGAAGAGTCGGACATGACTAAACAATAAAAGAGTTAAATTCTCAGTCGAGTTTGTGATGCTGGGCAAGTCACTTCGATCTTCAGGCCTCAGTTTCCTTTTCTGTAAAAGGAGAAAGTTGGATTAAATGATCTCTAAGGACTTTTCACCTCAAACAGTCTAATGAGATACTTGGAGAGCACCATCACATCCTGCTTCAGTCTTTAGAAACAACCCTGTTGTTTCTACCTTTATAACATCTCTTGTATATACCCCTTTTTGTTTTCTGACACTGCCACCATTGTGGTCCAGACCCTCACCCCTCACACCAGTACTATGTACTGCCAGAGGAAACATCCTTATTTCCATGAATTGATTGTTGTCTGTCTTCTTAAATCTCCTCCTTTCTTATTTCTTCTGTCTTTTTGCACTTACTGAAGTCTGGCTCCCTCCTGATGACTATATGAACATACTTCCTGGCTGCCATTTCAGCACTGGCTACACTTTCACTCATTCCCACAATTCACTGGTCAAGGTAAGGCAGTTGGAACATTCCTTGTTCCCAATTGCCTCTTCCAGGCTCACCCTCTACCCCCATCACTTAAAAACCTCTTGTCCTTTGAGGTTCATTCAATCCACATCTACTAATCAAAATCCTTGTAGCTATTGTCCATAGACCTCCAGGACATTCTCTTTCTTTCCTCAATGTATTTAGTTCATGGCTCACAGTCTGTCTTAAATTCCTGTCTTCATACTAGGGCGCTTCACTATACATATTGACTCTCCCTTAAATGCTCTAACCTCCTAGTTCTTCAACTTACTCATTTCCCATGACTTACTCTCCACCCCACCTCCACCACACACAAAAATGGTCATAGCCTTGACCTTGCTATCATTCACAAATATACAAACTTCCAGGTTCATGGACTCTGTAATACCCTTATCTGATCATAAGCTGGTCCACCACTTCTGCCTCACCCTTCCAAATCCTGTTCTTCAGTCTCTTTGTGATGGCCAGTCTTTCAGCCCCCTTAGTTCTTTCCCAGACCATCACCCCTGCACCAGCTAGTCTCTTCCCTTCTCCATCTTGACTCCTTGGTGAACCAGGTCAACTCCACACTGTCCTTTCAAGTCCTTTGCCTCTATCCTCAAAAAATTCTCATTTCATCCATCCCCCCTAGCTATTATCATTTATCTTATCTCCCTTTTTGACTAAGCTTCTTGAGAAGGCTGTCTACAATAGGTGACCACTTCTTTTCCAATCACTCCCTTCTTAACTCTGCCTTCTGGCTTCCAACCTCACAATTCCATCAAAACTGCTCTCCAAGGTCACTAACGACCTCTTAACTACCCAGTCTCAATCCTCATCCTCTTTTCCTTAATACTCTCTTCTCTCAAGTGTAGACACTGCTCTCCTGGTTTTCCTACCACTTGTCTCGTCTCCTTTTCTGTATCCTCATCCAGGTCATGCCTGCTAATTGTTGGTGTCCCCCAGAGCTCTGTCCTTGGTCTTCTTCTCTTTCCCCTCTGTTATTTCACTTGGTAATCTCATCGGCTCCCATGATTTAAATTGTCATCTCTATCTAGATGACTCTCTGATTTACTTGTCCAGCCCTAAGGTCTCTCCTGACCTCCATTCTCCATCTGAAACTGCCTATTGGACATCTTGAACTTGATATCCTGTAGACATGTTGAGTCTGATCATGTCCAAAATGGAATTAATTCATTTTCTTTTCCCCAAAACCCTCCCCACTTTCAAACTTTTCTAATACTGGAGGGTACCTCTGGGTACCCAGGCTCATTAACCTAGGTGTCATCCTCAACTCTTTCCTCTCACTCCCCCCCCAATCCAATCAGTGGTTAAACCCTGTTGTTTCTACCTTTATAACATCTCTTGTATATACCCCTTTTTGTTTTCTGACACTGCCACCATTGTGGTCTGGACCCTCACCCCTCACACCTGTACTGTGGAAATAGCCTGCTGGTTGGTCTTCTTGTCCCAGGTCTCTTCCTACACCAACGGGTCCTCCATTTAGCTGTTTATTCATCTTCCTAAAGCACAGGTCTAACTATGTTACCTCCCTATTCAACCAAACTCCAGTAGCTCCCTATTACCTTCAAGATAAAAAAGAAAATCCTTTTTGGCTTTCAAAGTCCTTCATAAAGTCCCTTCCTGCCTTTACTGTCTTTTTTAAACATATACTCCAAGTAGTCAACGATCCACTGACATGGGTTTCTTTACTGTTCCTCACACAAGACACTCCATCTCCCAACTTGGGGCATTTTCACTGGCTGTCCCCATGCCTGGAATGCTCTCTTTCTGCCTCTCTGCTTCCGAGTTTCTCTGGCTTCCTCCTAGTCTCATATAAAGTCCTACCTTCTGCAAGAAGGCATTCCCAGTCCTCAGAGATAACGTCCAATTTATCTTGTCCATATCTTGTTCATACACAATCATTTGTATGTTGTTCCGCATTAGGCTATGAGCTCTTTGAGAGCAGGGACTGGTTTTTGCTTTTCTTTTTATCCCCAGCCACTAGCACAATGTGTAACATAGTAGGTACTTAATAAATGACAGTTGATTGATCCAGTCTGCTTGCCTTAAGGGATGTCCTCTTCAGGAAATGCACATCCTTTTGTGGTTTTTCCACATCCTTCTGATATATAGCACCTCAAAGCCCTGTTGCAGAACCTAGGGGCGGCCCAAGGACAGAAGGGCCTGGGAAGAGGCATGCAATGAGAGGGGAATGGAGAGAGGAGATGGTGTTAAACAAAGAGAAACACATCTAGAACCGACTCTGCCGCCACCATGATTTTGCTGAGGGCTGGCCCTGGGAAGAAGGTTCCCTTTCATTTTTTTCCCTTGTGGCTGAAACCTACTTCCCTGTAGCTTCTAGACACTGGTCCTAGAAAAACACAGCAACACGGTTTCTTCTTTGGTTTTGTTGTTCTGCTCCTGGATCAGGCCCAATCTAAATGAAAGATCAGAGTGTGTCCTCAGTTAATAAGCATTTATTAAGCACTTACTAAGTGTCGGGCATTGCTCAGTGAAGGGGATAAAAAGAAAGGAAAAACCAGTCCCTGCCCTCAAGGAGTTCCCAGTCTAACGGGGAAGACTTCGTGCATACAACGATGTACCTACTGGCTATGTATTCGATTAATTGAGGAATGATCTCTGAAGGAGGGTGCTAAGATTAAGGATGACTGAGAAAGGCGGAAGGTGAGATCTGAGTCTGTTTGAAAGAAGCCAAGAGGCAGAAGTGAGGAAGGACAGCATTCTGGGCCTGGGAGTGGCGGGGTGGCCAGTGAAAATGTATCAAGTGTGGAGAAGTTCTTACTCAGTGTCCTTAGCTATCCCAGGCTAGACCAGAAGTCGCAGAGTCTGCAGAAGCTTCCTGTGTCTCAGTCATAAAAATCAAAAACCTCAACCATGGGCTCAGCCCCAACCCTGATCACGCTTTTCAAATCTGATGACCCCCTCCCTCCCCCAAAGCCTTAGAATCTCCCAGCCTTGTCTGTACCACCAATTTTTGCTTCATTTCCCCCACTTCAGGCTTTGGAGAAGGGGACTCCCAAAGTATCCTGTCCGTTTCTAACTGTGCTAGCAAACTCTGCTTGTCATATAGTAATTTGTGCTTCTGTCTTATCTGCTCCCTGAGGGTAAGGGTGAGGTCTTATCCTTCTTTGTATTTCCCTAGGCACTAGGCACTGACTCTGCACCGTGCAGGTTCTCTGCAAATGTTTATTCCTGTATAAGTGAGTGAATAAATTAGTGAATAACTGTGTGAGTAAATGAAGGAACAGATGAGGGAATGAATTAGTGAGTGAATAAGTGAATGGATGAGTAAATGAATAAGGTGAATGCCTGAAGGCAGAGGAGTCCTCTGAGTCCACATTCCAGCAAGGGTAGAGGCTCACCTGGAGGCAACACATCATGGTAGAAAAATGTGCTGAATTTGGAATCAGGGAATCTGAATTCAAACTCTGACCTGTTATTTTAGAGTACTGAACTTGGAATCAGGAAGACCTGAGTTCAAATCCAGCCTCAAATGCTTAGTAGCTGTGTGACCCTGGGTAAGTCACTGAACCTCTGTATTCCTCAATTTCCTCATCTATAAAATAGGGATAGTAATAGTACCTATATCCCAGGTTGTTGTGAGGATTAAATGAAATGATATTTGTAATGTGCTTTGTAAATCTTAAAGCATCATATAAATGCTAGGTAGTAGTAGTAGTAATATTAGTACTAGTATTATTACCACCTGTGTGCTAGGTACCACAATGGAGATAGAAAAACAAAAATAAATGATCCTAATACCTTTCCTACAGCCTCAGCTCCCTCCTCCATAAAATATGGAGGTTGGAAAAATGATCTCTATGGCCCCCTCCTCTGATCCCTACTCTGATCAAACCTCTGATCCCTACTCTGTTTTGAAAATTAAAGGAGGTGAGAGATGTGA